ATAAATTTTACCGACTGTCTGAGAAGCCTTTTTCATTCACACAGGGGTGAATTAGCATGTATGAAGCAGAATATCCAACAACATCCAACATAATTTCTTAAAATAAATATAAATAGAGATTTACAGTCAGGTGAGGAAGACTTTGAATTTGTTCTTCTAACAGAATTTCTTCATAGTGGGTGAAGGAAAGAGATTTGGGGCTTGTCAGAGGTAAGCCAAGTTTCATAGTTAGTTTGTCTATATACAGAACTGGATGAACTGTGTTAAGTTTAAGCAGGATCTAAGTATTCAGATGTTTGAGACATTAACCTCGGTTACTATAGTTAACACAGGTGTGGTATATATAGATTCACATGTAGCAGGGAAATGCTACCAGAACTTGGTTGTTCTGAAGAACTTCACTTGGTAGGCTCAAAAACTGTGTGCTTCCAGCAGTGCATGTGTAGCTAATTCTGTGTGTTTCTATGGTTTTGTTTGGTGTTCCTGCTAAAGGAAAAAGTACCACTCATATAAATGGCTTACTGTATTTGATTTTTCAGTAATGTTTGCCAGGATTTCTCCATGTAAATGCTTTGTGGATGGAAATCATTTAGTTACTCGACATTCAGTTAAAAAGCACTAAACACACTGTTTTAAGAGATCTTATTGGCCAAAATTAGTGTCATTAATTTTACCCATTATACAGAAATGTGCTAAACAACTGTACATAACTCTTTGCTATTTGGCGAGAGTGATGGACATAACTCTAACCATGTCAAGGTTGAGATTGTTTGTGTACTTGTATGTTGGTAAAGACGACAAATCATGTTCCTTAGCTAATATGTGGTTAAAATGATTAGCTGATAGCACAGAGGATGAGTCATTTTTTTCTCTTTGGACACTGGTGGGAAAATGATACATATTCAAAGCCAAGCCTCTTAGCATATATATATATATATATGCTAAGAGGCTTGGCTTTGAAAAATCTATTCAAAAAATATATATATAACCACTCTGGTCTGTATCATTTAACCTTGGCACATGAAATTTGGATAAAAAAAAAAGTATACAGTGTTTTGAATAGTCTTGACATCTATCAAGAATAAGTACATTTTTGTCATATTATTATTATTATTATTATTATTATTATTATTATTATGTCATAGTAAATGGAGGAACTAATGATAATATCTGTAGTTTAAATTGATCATTTATTTTTAAAAATACCCATTTTAATGTGTAATATCAAATTTAGACAGCTTTGATAGGAAAAAAGAGGTTATGAAGATAAGGATGCCATATTATATATTCCATTTTATGTCTTTGAATTCTAAGAGTTTTGTGTGCAGCTTGCTGCTTAAGATTATTTTAGCAATTATTGCAACACTAGTGCATGTGGTCAGATTCTGAAAGACAAGGTGTATCATGAGATTGAAAAGTAATGAAAAGAAATAACAGGAAAAAATGAATGTGTGTGTGTGTGTGTGTGTGTGTGTGTGAGAGAGAGAGAGCGAGAGAGAGAGAGAGAGAGAGAGAGATGTATTAGTTCATATTTTATATGAATGCAAACGTTTACCCAGACAATAGATTGAAATCCTAGTCATGTCTATTGATGACACAGATGACACAGATATTGATGAAATAGAGTGCATATTTGACTTGAAGAACGAGAGTGACTACCCTGGTGCTACTCAGTACATTTATTTTGGCAGATCTACCATTCTCCCAACTGATGTTATGATCAGCTTTGTTATATATATATATATATATATATATATATATATATATATAAGTTAAATTTTCAGCAATTGCCCTATTAGTTTCAGACAAATCATATTCCCAATCAATAAGTTAGAAGCAGTTTAGCAAGCAGTTATTTAAAAATATTTCAATTTGTGTGAGGTAATTGTATTATTTATTTATAACAGGCTGGCGTGATCTTAGAAAAGTGATTTAAGAATCTAATAAGCTAAGCCTCTGTGATCTGAGCACTGTGCATTACAGGAAAGATAAATGAATTGTCTGAGAGAGTTGAGGAGTTCATGACGATGGGAAGGTGATCACGTCAGAGCAAGTATTCATTCATAAATTGTTTATGGGTAAGATTTTCTTTTTTTTTTCTTATATTTTTCCTTAGTTTTACAGTTACTAGTAACTGGTAGTGTTGGTTTATTGCGAATATATTGACATTTTCTGCACTCGTGCTTAAAATGATTTCAGGGAGTCATGAGGCTGTATATTTACCATTTTTTGCTTGATTGGATTTGCATTAAAACGGATAAATGCAGCAAATTGTCCTCTGCTGTTTTATAATCATCAGTCATCTGTTCATCAGCCTGTTTCTTATTCCAGTAGAGTAATTGGGTATTGTCATTCCAGTCCCAAGTGCAATATTATAGTGGTGAAGTGTAAATAGTGGGAATTCTTTGTCATATTATATGCAGACAAAAAAGAAAAAAAAGTAGAGCCACAATGAAAAGCTGATGCAAAGTCAACATATATCTTAAATGGTCACTGCACCTTTTGCGACACACACACACACACACACACAGACACACTTCATGTGAAAAAAATGTACTATTTGTGAAATACTTCCTGGGAGTTGATCATGAATTTTATTTATTGTCACTGAAAAGAGTTGAGGCTTAATTGGTATAGAAGGCAATCTGATTTCCTGGAAAATTTATGAGTCCAGTAAGTGGTTTTGAAGCCAATTTGTATCTCGCTCAATATTTTTTATCATCTTTTTCATAACAGAATATAGAATTTATTCAAGAGATGTAGGCGGAAGAGTTGTTTTTCAATTAAATTTTCTGTATTGAATTTTCTCTTAATGTCATCTTTCATTAATTATAAGCACCTCAGCTTGAAGCAATCTTGCTTCTCATTAATAAAGTAGGTTTTCCTTTCTTAGAAATGTGGTACAAGCAAATGTATATTTTTCTCCTTATCAGTTGAACAACTTTTAGTTGTAGAAGTTATATGGAAGCCTATTTTAAAAAATTCCCTTATTTTTGGTTTTTATATTCTTATAGAAAGACTTCATTGCNTGTACAGCAGTGTGCTAAAAGTTCTGAAGAAAATAGTGATGTAGAGATTAATAGAAAGTGCTTGTCAATAATAAGTACACAGAAATTTGGAGCATTGAATATTTTCTCAAGCTGTCTTTGTCATTGGTCTGTATTGATCTAACACAAGTCACCTTTCAGTGGTCAACATTGTTTTATAATTATCATTTCAATAAGTGGAGAAGTCAACACAGAAATTAAAAGTCAGTTATGAATGGTATTATGCTTTTATGGCTTTGGTTTCTGATGAGATGTGTTACCATAATGGTCTTGCTGTGAAGGGAAATATAAACCTGGCTCTTCTGTAATAGTTGGGTATGACAAAAATAGATTTGCTTCAATAAAAACAGAAAATCACCCACAAATCTTATTTTCATATATCCACAAGTGATTAATGAACCATGAAACTTTCATAGTATAGGCAGTTGGCCTAGGTATCAAATTTGGAATTGAATGAACAAGTCAGATCTTCTCTAGTATTAGTCATTGCACATTTCGGTATCTGTTTTATCTTCATGGGTTATAGTTAGTCATTGTTTTCTACATCAATAGACTGACCTAGTCATATATTGCAATCAGAGTGCAAACTAGGAGTCTTTAAGGGAATTTTAATTGTTTGGAAACAAATGCATTAATGGAATGCTTTCCTGTGAAAATTAGTTGTGCTTCAGAAACCACTGGTGTAAGTTTGAGTTTTGTTCTCAGCTCAGATGTAAGCCCATAAGGGCTTTTCTCTTAATTGTTTGTTTATGGTATGGATTTTGGTGCTATCAGGGGAAAGTATCTGTTGAGCAGTTTTTTTTGTTCAGAAAAGTTTCAAGTTGAAGTAGTTTAATCTGAGTAGAAAGACCAGATAAGCTCACTGAGACTTTATAAGGCCTGTTCTTCCATGGAAACGCACATTGTGTTTGCAGGAGTACTTAAAAATCTGCCATATAACTCAGGCTTTCACAACTCTAGGGGTTTAATCATGTTGCCTGTCAAACAAATGCATTTTTGAATAAAAAAAATTTGAATTTGGCACTTGTTTGAACCTCTTTATCTTCTTATTATGGAGGGCTTGTGATGTATTGATCTGTTCAAAAAGAATAGTGGTTTAGAACACATTTGATGTACCTCTCAGAAAACAATGGGGTTTAGAATGCAAAGATAGAAACATACTTCTGCCTGCCATCTTGTACAGAGAAAACAGAAAGAAATTAGCCAAAGGGGAAAATCCATTGTGTTTGAGTAACAGCCCTGTGTCTAATTCTGTCACATATTGATTTCTCCCCTTATCTGTAAAAGATAAAGCACTCTGGGGAGGAAAATTCCCAGTAGATGTTTTTACAATGAGATATAAAGATGTTAAAAAAAAAAAAATTATTCAATGTCTTATACATACTCTCATTGATTTTCTCTTTTGTTGAAGATGATAACAACATACCAAAAGTGATGCCAGGATTTTTTTTGTTTTGAATGAACTATAACCTTGGAGAATAAGGATTGTACCTAACCATCTGATAAAAATTTTGATAAATTAACAACTTAAATGTTAATGTATGACAGTGGATTAACTTACCAGATGTTTTGGTTAGTAGGAAACTCAAAATGTCATGTGAGCAGGACAGTCAGGAGTTATACTGGAGCAGGAAGAGGGCCAAAATTCCACAGCCATTACCGTAACATTTGAAACTATCTGCTGAATGGGCCAGGTATCCTGGAAATGTTTAAAGTTGTTTAAAGTTAATGAGAGAGCCAAAGCACTGTAAGCACGAGAGACACGGGTTTCATAAAGAGCATCAGAAGGACCGAAATTTCACAATCATTACCGTAACATCTGGTTCTGTGTGCTGTATGGACCACTCTACCTCAGCTGTAGGGGCTGTGGTAGTTGTGTTGGCACACATTGAACAGCCAAGATCCATATTCTTCCACCATGATGGTATGTACCTCTACTGTTTCACTGTCAGTAGTGAGCAGCGTAATAATATGCAATAATCCTGGCTAAAACTTTGAAAGATCAATACCAGATCATCAGCAGTGCTGGCACATTGATCAGACACAAGGATGTCAGGATGGTTAGACAGAAACAGGCAGGGGAGCAAGATAAGAAAGCCGTCTTGAAATTCCGAAGGTCTGTCTCTGAGGGACCCCAGTTCACTTACAGGTATGCAAGGGCTGATTGCTTGGGAATAGAGGTTCATTGCTCAGGTATGGGAGCTATGAGGCACAAAAATGGCGGGACTACTTGATGGTGCAAGAGAAAATTGGTACATGGTGCTGTTCAGTTTGATGGATCTTGGTCAATGTATAGATTTTTTAAAGTGTTCTTTTGTTGCACATATTTTTAACAAGGCTATAGAGGGGAAAAAAGAACGAGAAAAAAATGTCGACAAAGAAATGTTGCTAAAAATAAATTTTACTGGCTGTCTGAGAAGCCTTTTCCATTCACACAGGGGTGAATTAGCATGTATGAAGCAGAATATCCAACAACATCCAACATAATTTCTTACAATAAATATAAATAGAGATTTACAGTCAGGTGAGGAAGACTTTGAATTTGTTCTTCTAACAGAATTTCTTCATAGTGGGTGAAGAAAAGAGATTTGGCGCTTGTCAGAGGTAAGCCAAGTTTCATAGTTAGTTTGTCTATATACAGAACTGGATGAACTGTGTTAAGTTTAAGCAGGATCCAAGTGTTCAGATGTTCGAGACATTAACCTCGGTTACTATAGTTAACACAGGTGTGGTATATATAGATTCACATGTAGCAGGGAAATGCTACCAGAACTTGGTTGTTCTGAAGAACTTCACTTGGTAGGCTCAAAAACTGTATGCTTCCAGCAGTGCATGTGTAGCTAATTCTGTGTGTTTCTATGGTTTTGTTTGGTGTTCCTGCTAAAGGAAAAAGTACCACTCATATAAATGGCTTACTGTATTTGATTTTTCAGTAATGTTTGCCAGGATTTCTCCATGTAAATGCTTTGTGGATGGAAATCATTCAGTTACTCGACATTCAGTTAAAAAGCACTAAACACACTGTTTTAAAAAGAGATCTTATTGGCCAAAATTACTGTCATTAATTTTACCCATTATACAGAAATGTGCTAAACAACTGTACATAACTCCTTGCTATTTGGTGAGAATGATGGACATTAAGTACTCTAACCATGTCAAGGTTGAGATTGTTTGTGTACTTGTATGTTGGTAAAGACGACAAAACATGTTCCTTAGCTAATATGTGGTTAAAATGATTGGCTGATAACACAGAGGATGAGTCATTTTTTCTCTTTGGACACTGGTGGGAAAATGATACATATTCAAAGCCAAGCCTCTTAGCGCATATATATATATATATATATATATATATAACCACTCTGATCTGTATCATTTAACCTTGGCACATGAAATTAAAAAAAATTGTTTTGAATATTCTTGACTTCTGTCAAGAATAAGTACATTTTTGCCATATTATTATTACATAGTAAATGGAGGAACTAATGATAATAGCTGTAAATTGATCATTTATTTTTAAAAATACCCATTTTAATGTGTAATATCGAATTGAAACATAGCTTTGATAGGAAAAATGAGGTTATGAAGATAAGGATGCCATATTATATATTCCATTTTATGTCTTTGAATTCCAACAGTTTTGTGTGCAGCTTGCTGCTTAAGATTATTTTAGCAATTATTGCAACACTAGTGCATGTGGTCAGATTCTGATTGACAGGGTGTATCATGAGATTGAAAAATAATGAAAAGAAATAACAGGAAAAAAATGAATGTGTGTGTGTGTGTGTGTGTGTGTGTGTGTGTGTGTGAGAGAGAGAGAGAGAGAGAGATGTATTAGTTCATATTTTATATGAAGGCAAATGTTTACCCAGACAATAGATTGAAATCCTAGTCATGTCTATTGATTCAGATGACACAGATATTGATGAAACAGAGTGCGTATTTGACTTGAAGAACGAGAGTGACTACCCTGGTGCTACTCAGTACATTTATTTTGGCAGGTATACCATTCTCCCAACTGATGTTATGATCAGCTTTGTTTTGTATGTATATATATTTATAAAAGTTAAATTTTCAACAATTGCCCTATTAGTTTCAGACAAATCATATTCCCAATCAATAAGTTAGAAGCAGTTTAGCAAGCAGTTATTTAAAAATATTTCAATTTGTGTGAGGTAATTGTATAACAGGCTGGCGTGATCTTAGAAAAGTGATTTAAGAATCTAATAAGCTGAGCCTCTGTGATCTGAGCACTGTGCATTACAGGAAAGATAAATGAATTGTCTGAGAGAGTTGAGGAGTTCATGACGATGAGAAGGTGATCACGTCAGAGCAAGTATTCATTCATAAATTGTTTATGGGTAAGATTTTCTTTTTATTTTTCTTTATTTTTTCTTAAGTTTTACAGTTACTAGTAACTGGTAGTGTTGGTTTATTGCGAATTTATTGACATTTTCTGCATTCATGCTTAAAATGATTTCAGGGAGTCGTGAGGTTGTATATTTACCATTTTTTGCTTGACTTGATTTGCATAAATACGGATAAATGCAGCAAATTGTCCTGTGCTGTTTTATAATCATCAGTCATCTGTTCATCAGCCTGTTTCTTATTCCAGTAGAGTAATTGGGTATTGTCATTCCAGTCCCAAGTGTACTAGTTAGTAAGCAATATTATAGTGGTGAAGTGTAAATAGTGGAAATTCTTTATCATATTATATGCAGACAAAAAAGAAAAAAAAGTAGAGCCACAATGAAAAGCTGATGCAAAGTCAACATATATCTTAAATGGTCACTGCACCTTATGCAACACACACACACACACACACACACACACACACACACACTTCATGTGAAAAAAATGTACTATTTGTGAAATACTTCCTGGGAGTTGATCATGAATTTTATTTATTGTCACTGAAAAGAGTTGAGGCTTAATTGGTATAGAAGGCAATCTGATTTCCTGGAAAATTTATGAGTCCAGTAAGTGGTTTTGAAGCCAATTTGTATCTCGCTCAATATTTTTTATCATCTTTTTCATAACGGAGTATAGAATTTATTCAAGAGAAGTGGGCGGAAGAGTTGTTTTTCAATTAAATTTTCTGTATTGAATTTTCTCTTAATGTCATCTTTCATTAATTATAAGCACCTCAGCTTGAAGCAATCTTGCTTCTCATTAATAAAGTAAGTTTTCCTTTCTTAGAAATGTAGTACAAGCAAATATATATTTTTCTCCTTATCAGTTGAACAACTTTTAGTTGTAGAAAATATATGGAAGCCTATTTAAAAAAATTCCCTTATTTATGGTTTTTATATTCTTACGGAAAGACTTCATTTCCTTACAGTTCTTATTCTACATGGGTAACAATATTTGTGTTTCCAGGAGTAGCTCTCAGAAGAAAAATGATGACCATTACAACGAGGAGGAGGAGGAAGAAGATGAAGAAATCTTAGGCTCTGATGATGATGAACAGGAAGACCCCAGGGACTACTGTAAAGGTAACAGGTCCTAGCATGCCATCTAATAAAATATTGACCATTTCCAATGAAAAATCAACATCATTATTGGGAAAGCAAGGATTTGAATTGAACCTGTCCATAATAAAGTACAAGAAAATATTATTTTGATGGAAATTCATCTGGGTAGTCTTTTGAGTATACTTGGTATAGAAATTGAAAGCTTAAGTGTAAAAAAAACCATTTATTTGCTAATGCTGGATAAATTGTGATAATTTCCATGGTAAATGGTAAAAAAATTAGACTCATGTAAATTGGGGGTGGGTGGGTTGGAAGTTGCCAGTTTCAAAATTAAAGAATTCAAGCCAATTTTCATCATCAAAATCTGTGTCCTGTACAGCAGTTCAGTTCCTGTAATTGGCAATTCCATGTACCTCTGGTAGCGCACAGGTTTGTAAGAATTTTTGCTTTGTTAAAAATATTTTCATGCACCAAAGATATTTTTTAAAAATTCTACTGAGCAAAAGAGAAAAATTGGACCTGGGCCCAACTGAAAATTAAATCGGTCTAGTGAGTAAGTAGAAGGCGCTGACATAATACCGTTTAGTCTGAATTATGTGTCTGAAACATTCACCCTCAGAATGACAGATATTTGAGGAGAATACGAAAAGTGTTCAATTTGAACTAATGTCTTGATCTCTAATGCGAGAAATTATTTTGGGGAATAGGTACCTCTGAATTTTTTCTGGAATTTCCTGATATCCTTATAATTTCTCTGATGTAAATGTAGAAGAGGAACGAAGATTACACTTATCCGTGTCTGGAATTTTCTGAATTTAGCAATAAGCTAAGAAATATGGGACCTATCTAGCTATAGTCAATGCTCTTGGGGTTCCTGGTGTTGTTAACAAGTTGTCTTTTAAAATGATAAAGTTTCTAGCATTTGGGAAATTGATAGGAGGTGTGGACCTATTCTTCAATGTTTTTTATAGAAAAGAAGAGAGGAAAAAAGAAAAGGGAGAAATAGGGATAATTACAAAAATCAACAAACCTTTTTAAACCTTTCTTCAGTTAAAAGATAATTAAATTAAGATCTCTAGATTGGACTATATAAATATATTGGATAAGGGTGGGCTAATTCAGACCATAGACCCGTTTGTTAATTATTACAAGCTGTATTTTCTCACCTGTTCAGTATGTTTATACTTGTTAGAAAAAGATGAGTATCTGGGTGATGAAGCTATCGTTATATATCATTCTACATGAGAGAGTTAGTAGAGAGTTGATCATTTATAGTAATGACAGTTAAGTATTGTTAACTGTTTTTTGTATCATTCACCATTTACATTGTGTCATCATATCATAAATATACTCATTAGCATTAGGTTTGTTAAGGAACTGATACAGTGCCAGAAAGGGACACAGATGGGATTATGCATTTACTTGCTTTCACTTACATTCTTTTAATCAAGGAGATAGATAAATAAATATAAACTAACACAGGATAAAAGGCCGTTTGTACTAGAATAATTTTTTTTTTCAACTGAGGCAGCGATATAGTTCATTGCTTGCAGGTAACAAATTCCTCACTGGCTGTTTTATTTTTTAGTATTACTTGCATTTTTTAGTCAATGTTGATATTTTTAACATTTATTTCAGGCGGCTACCATCCCGTGAAAATAGGCCAACTCTATAACAACTGCTACCATGTAGTCCGTAAGCTTGGATGGGGTCATTTCTCCACCGTGTGGCTGTGTTGGGATCTACAGTAAGTGGAAAGTCATCACAATCAGCTTGAACTGTTATCTTGAACCACATGCTGCATACTAACCATGTTAATTGCTATCAGCAATGCAGGTGATGCAGAGACTGTTGGTAGTTTGACTCAGAAGAAGTCAATAAGCAAAATGATTGATGCGATGTGCCTTCTTAGATTATAAGTAAACATACCCACACTAACAGGGGACATATTTGTTATTTTTGATAAATTCCAAAAGTTAAGGGAAGGTTGTGTGTTTGGTAAATATATATGGACGTGCAGTTTAACTCAAAGCTGGAGGTCAGTGTTCTACTGGTCACCTTAGGGGAGAAAAGATGAAGCCACTTTTCTCTCCCATTTGTGGAAATGTGTTCAAATGGTGAATCAATAGACTTGATAAATTTTCAGACCAGGCAAGATAGAGAGTAAATCTCAAGGGTTCAGCTTTCATGTTGCTGAAGGTGAATTAAGTGATAATTTATATATATGTAACTAAGTCTTGCCAGTTTTACAGTGTCCCTTGGTAGACAGGTTTGTTGATTAGGGAGAACCATTTTGAAATTTGCAGTGGTTACGGGTTTAAATGATTCATTTCTCTCTTTTTAAGTCTGGAAGGTCAGGAAACCTCTGTGGAAAATATTAACTTTATGAATTCATGGGAGATTTCTGATGATTTATGCCCAGTTAAGATAATGTCATTATTCTTGCAATGCTGTGTTTTGTAAGTGTTAGTTCGTATCAGTTTTGATCTCTAAATTGTGAAAAAATAATAGGTAAAGAGACTAGTATTGTAGATGATATATGTTTTTTTATAAATAATGAAATACCATTACTTGTTTAGTTTTTTGTTCATGAATCATGTCAAAATTTTTTTCATCTCACTCCTTTATAAATCTGGATTATTTGATATTAAACAAAAAATAGCATGCTGGGCAACCTTTTGAAAAACAAATCCGGAAATTCTGAACAGATGGAGATCATTTCTTAGTATTGTAAGATAAAAGAGTTCCTTATTGACTTATGCCTTTCAAGGGAATTGCCTATCCATGGAAAGTCAACACATTTATTAGATTGCTTCCAATAGACTGGGAGGAAGGAATAGAGAAGTAGCAAGGCTGAGTTGTGGCACATCAGCATAATTTTCATCATTTAATAATAATGACCATAAGTAACATAGTAATAATGATGAAGACAATACTCAGATACTAGTACAAAACTTGCAATAGGCTAAGACTCAACAATAGATACACAGATATTATACAGTGACAGTAATAAATCAAAAATATACCTTAATAGGATGAAGCATGAAAAGCACTTAGCATTCAAGAATCTAACTCTCTATTCAAGAATCTAACTCTCTGTTTTGATGGGATATAGGTGTATGACTGACAGGGGCTTAAGTTCCTCTTTATTTTTCAGGATGAAGCGTTTTGTGGCCTTGAAAGTTGTCAAGAGTGCACAACATTACACTGAGACAGCATTGGATGAAATTAAATTACTGAAATGTGTAAGTATTTTATTATCGGAAGGAGCTTATCAAAAATAGATTAGAAAATAGAGAATTAAACTGTTCTTTGTATTATGCCCAATGTGTAGTTCTCGATGTTTTGCAAATTTGTAAAGTCCACACTGTGTGTGACAATTTAAGATAAAAAAGTCAATGTTAGTTTCTCTTTTATATGAAAAAAAAAGTTCTGGAAGGAGGATTTAAAGAGATTAGCAATGCATTAGACAGGAAAAAGGGTATTTATCTTTAGAGAACATTCATATGTCCATTGTGAATTCTGATAACCCAGTTTTATGTGTTTTTTCAAGGTTCGTGAGAGTGACCCTGAGGATCCTTGTAGAGAGAGGACAGTTCAACTTCTGGATGACTTCAAAGTTTCAGGGGTGAACGGCACTCGTATCCTTTTGTTGGGGTGGAAGGAAATGTAAAAAACATTGTCCAACTGAATTAATTGTATTGGAATGAATCAGAATGTTAATATTTCCTTAGAGATGGGTGAAAAAAACTGTCACCAGCTTAGCATCAGTTCCCTTGGTTGAACTGAAAGTGGCTATATGCAGGAGGATCCTGCATGCTTTGCCTTCTGCGATGCTTTAAAATGAATCTGTTTAATAGGACCTGTTTTTTCTCTTCGCATTTGTAAAACTTCCTTTTACATGTTTGTCTCCACCAATATAGTCCAGAGAGTTGATCATATTTAGTAACTCACTGATTTTGATTTTCTCTATAATTGGATATGAAAGGTTACCAAACAAAGTAATGGGGAGGAAAAGGTGTTACCATGGAGAGAAATGATGTGGAATATCCATTAAACTGGGGAACATTTCTTTGTATATTGCCTTGACTTTACTCTCTCAGATGTGTGCATGGTGTTTGAGGTTCTGGGTCATCACCTACTGAAACTGATCATCAGGTCCAGCTACCAAGGAATTCCATTATCAAATGTCAAGTCCATTATTAGACAGGTAAGGAGAGGGAATTCAACTTGTGTTTTTTCTCTTTGAGAGAGAAAGGTTTGGGGGGGGGGGGGCAACAACTTGTACTTTCGTGATTTCCAATTGATTAAGAAGAAATCTAATAAGTCTTATAAGTTGCACTAAGTGATGACTTGGTTTTCAAAAAAATGTTTTATGCCTGTGTGAAAATTTAGAAAAATCATGTAAAGCTCTGCAGCTAATATGCCAGAAGGTGATTCTCATGCTAAGTGCAGTAGTTTAAAGAATATTAAGCAAAATTATTATTATTTTTTTGTCTAAAAGCATATAAAAATATTCACATGGAGGTTCATTGTATGTGAACCATACAAATAGAACCCAGTTAAATTGTTAGGTGAAATGTTAAGTCCATTTCCCAAAGGGTGAGGTGAGTGAGGTTATAATGCTGACCTTTTTTAGTTGGATATTTTTTGGTCCTTTTTTCCTATGCTTCACAAGCTTTGCTTTGAAGTAGATTAGCGTAAAGAGGAACAGTCATAAATGATTCACCAAACCATGACCCATTGCACTTAGTTTGAGAGTCCTTCTGCAGGTCTGTAGCCAGCAATTTCAAAAGGGGGGGGGGTTCTTTTTCTAAAAAAAATGGACCTTTTACCATGAAACCATGTACCTAGATGATATTTTACCCAGAGGGGACCTTTTCCCAGCAAAAGGGGGTGTTCTTTCAAGGCCCCTTGAATCCCCCCTGGCCACGGGCCTGTGCTAGTAACTCTTTACCATTTTCATTAACCAAGGGTGAAAAGAGTAAAGACAGGCTTTTAGTGCTTGCGGCATAGAGGAAAGCAACTTTCAGCAGTCAACTGGGGTGAAAAACACTGGGGGACCAATTGAATTTGCTTTGGCAAACTTTAATTTATTGGGAAGGAATGTTGGGAAATAACAGGGCAATCATGACTGATACAATTTGAAATGGAAAATGTAATTTTTTGCAGCACCAAAAAGAGTATGGCTGCCACCATGATGAACACATTTAATCAAGATTTTGTGATCATTTTGAATTATTTTCTTGAACTATATTTCCAGACTCCAAAAATTCACTTTTATCACAACATCTACTTTGAGGCATTGTACACCTTCAAATTTATTTTTTTAAAAAATTGTTTATGAAATTCTCACTTTTGTATTTACTTCTCTTATTAAAAATTTTTAATTATGGAATTCTCACTTATGTATTTACTTCCAGACTCTACAAGGGCTCCACTACCTCCACACAAAGTGTAAGATCATACACACAGACATTAAGCCAGAGAACATTCTCATGTGCGTGGATGAGGCACATGTTCGCAAACTTGCAGCAGATGCAGTGGAGTGGCAGAAGATGGGACAGAAGCTCCCAGGATCTGCAGGTAGAGTACATTTTGATTCTTAGCTGTGCATGGACAAATGTGTCTTTGTGTAGGCACACTGATAGATATACACATATGCACACCATGGCTTTAACTTTAATCCAAGAATGTTGCAGCACAATTGTGTCCGTCTCAACAAACACACAAGGGCAAAGCAATGTTCAAATCACACACAGTACTGTATTTTTTTCATAACTGTTGCAGTTGCCCTACCTGTAAGGAGTCATTTTTTGTCAGAAATTGAGGATTTTGTCTTTAAAAAAAAAAAAAATTTGATATATTAGTTGATTTCAGAAAAAAGGAGCTTGGGAATAGCAAGTTATTGACTTGGATTATGTTAGAGTTTTTCAGTTTGTCATATATGTCACTTCATAAAACCAAAATATTGTATGTTTTCTTTTATTATCCAGTAATTCTTCATAATTTATGAACTGATATAGTAAGTATTTTTTATTTCAGTGAGCACGGCACCCAAAGAGAAGCCCCCAGATCCCAGTAAAATGTCCAAGAATAAAAAGAAGAAACTGAAGAAGAAGATGAAGAGGCAGCAGGAACTGTTGGAGAAACAGATGCAGCAGCTGGAAGAGCTGAACATGGGAGGAGGGGAGAAGATTGTAAGGATGCGTGGGCACACGCACATGCACACACATACACACACACCACAAATATTGTAAGGTTAATGATAGCATTGTGCTGATTTGTTTAAGAATAGACAAATCTAGTTTGAAAAATAAAAAGAAAGAGCGCAAAGGAAATGATTACTGAAGAAATAATAAATGGATGTTGCATATCTGGGATCATGCATGCATACGCACACATACACACAAGTAATACATTGTTGTCAAAAATTTTAAGGAATGACCCTGTGTATTATAGAATATATGTATTTTATGTTAATTATCTATTACAGCAAAAAATGAATGATGAGGAGAGGGAGGAGAACAGTTCTCAGTCAGACCATATTGCCACCACTCCCACACAGAATGCAGAGGCGATGGAAGTAGGAGGTAAGAACAAGATTAGAAAAAGACAAGATGAGTATTTAATTACAGTTACTGTCCATAGTAGGAGGTAAGAACAAGATTAGAAGAAGACATCATGAGTATTTAATTACAGTTACTGTCCATAGTAGGAGGTAAGAACAAGATTAGAAGAAGACATCATGAGTATTTAATTACAGTTACTGTCCATTCTTGGGTTGTTCCATATTGGTACGTGAAGGAAAAACATAAGTGATATAATTTGGAATAGTATTTTTAACTTATTGTAAAAAACTAGAAGAATAGGTTTTATTTGACTGCTCTTTTACAGTTCTATGTTCTTCATGGACCTTTTGGACTAATTTTCTATTTACAAAGAAAAATGTTAAGCTCATGCTTGTGTATTGAATTTAAACCCCGAAAAACACTTTTTAGATTATAATCAAAAATTGCCTTAATGGAGTCATCAATTTTATGATGTCATTTCTCTTTTTAGACGATACCAATGGAAAAGAAAGCAACGAATCAAAAGGAGAATCCCATGCTTCAGGTGATGATGCTGTGGAGACGAAACAGTGCAGTGAGAGAGGTGAAGGTCACTGTAAATCCAGCCAATCCAGTAGCAGCTTGGATTCAGCCAGTCAGCTGGAGGCAGACAAGGCAATAAACCAAAATAATACTGTGAACAGTAGTAGATCAAATAATGAAAATTCTGATTGTCCAGATAGTCAGGAGACAATTAGGGACTCCAGTAGTCAGCCCTTATTATGCAACGGTCACTCCTCGGCCTCGTCTGAGGAAGGCGGGGAGACGACAATGACAGCGCACGAATCTCAGAGTGACGTGTTGAATACAAACGACAGTGCTAGCAATGAGCCTGCTAAAACAGAGGATAATATGGAGCAAGGTGATAGTAATGACACTTGTGAGAATGAGAATGGGAATCCTGAATTGTCCACTGAGCAGAAAAATAGACCACAGTTGAAGGGCTCCAACTCCCAAGGCAAGTAAATGAGTGTTCAAGGGAAAGAAGGCCTGGGCCTGATTTGTATGAAGTTATACATTTTTTGGAGCTTAGCCTAGACAGCCTAATGGGACAGAAAGCTACTTCAAGTTGACTGTGCAACATTGGTTTTAGTGTGTTTTAAAAATGATTAGCCCTCAATTATTCAATTATGTCACCATTAGGAATTCCAATCACTACACAGACGTTCACAACAGGGGCTTAGTAATGAGAGGGGAAGGGGGGGGGGGGAGGCAAGCTGTCTTTAAGGTTCTTATTGAATTATCTTGGCTAAAATCCTCACCCGTCTTTGGTAATATTGACTTTTAACTGCAGACTGTTTGTGAAACAAGTCCCTTAATTGAATTTTTAACCTCATTAATTTTGTTAAGGTAACATCATGTCCAGATGGAACATGTTGTTTTCTCTGGTGTTTTCGGGCTAATACAAGGGTCGAGTCCTCTCATTATTCGTTGACTTTTTCCTCAAATTTTGAACATAAATTCTTTAAGAACAAGACAGTCTAACCAGGGATACATTTTGTGAACAGATTTAAAGACCCACCTGGTCCAACCCATGTGAATTGATACTAAAAAAAAAAAAAAAGGAGGAAAAAGAATTAATTAGTAAATGGAGTAGATTTGGATATTCTGCAGAATAGTAAGTCACATGGAAAGTGAGTATTGAATATATTTCAGGTGCCATCAGCACTACATCAGAGGGCAAGAAACCAGACCCTTCCTCTGAGATATGTGAGCTCCACGTGAAGATTGCTGACTTAGGGAACGCATGTTGGACTGTAAGTCAGCTATTTGTAATAAGTCATCTAAATGATTAATAGATTAAATCTTTAATATAGTTAAAAAAAAAAAAAACGCATGATCACTTGGGTGTTGCATGTGCACTGGATTCACTTTGATCCAATCAGTTGAGAAGTTTGATTATAATTGTCTTGTCATTCAGGTAGTTTGGATCATGGCTGTTGAAAAAACTCGACTTGTCAATCTGCTGCAGTGTACTTAGTTCTTAAATAACAATTCCCCTTGCTGTTCTTTCAGCATCACCATTTTACAGAAGACATTCAGACCAGGCAGTATCGGTGTCTGGAGGTTCTAATTGGGGCAGGATACGGCCCCCCTGCTGATATATGGAGTACAGCTTGTATGGTAGGTGGCGGGGTGTAAGGGTTGGTATTGGAGGGGAGGGCGGGGGGGGGGGGGGGGGGGGGTGTTTGGGATCGGTGATATGATGATGAGTTGAGGTATGGGTTCCCTTATGTGATAAACAGAGCAAAGATTGTATGGGATGGTGTGATTAATGGAGCACAGCATTTTGGCTAGGCACTCTGGTTATATGGAGGGTTGAGTGGGGTTAATTGAAATTCTAATAGCGGCAGGATTTGTTCTCCCAGTGTGAATATATGGCACTGATACATGTTAAAAGTTGAAGAGAGAGTGTACGTGTCTATTAGTAATAACATGTGTGACTAGGTTCACAAAAATTGTACTGAACAATTTAGATCCATTGCTTGGTCCGAGGTGATCGTCACATTTTGAAAAATTTTGTTCCTCTTCCTGAGGACTAGCGAGTTATGTGCCCAGTCATTTATTTTCAAAACTTTTGTTCCAGGCATTTGAGTTGGCAACTGGGGACTACCTGTTTGAGCCCCACTCAGGGGAGGACTACTCCAGGGATGAGGATCACCTTGCACACATTATCGAACTCCTGGGGGCAATTCCCAAGCACATTGCCCTCAGTGGCAAGTACTCCAGGGAGTTCTTTAACAAGAGAGGTGGGTGGGTGATAGAATTACCTGGATGTTAGGTGGATGGATTCTTCTTCAGCTTATTTCAGTGAACAAAACATCCATTATAATATATCGTTTTTTAAATTATTTAGCTTTATAATTTGTGTACTCAGATAAATATAGACAGTGTCTTATTCTGTGTATTTGTTAACCATGTATCTCTTCGAATTCCTTCCATCAAGTTTCTATAATTGTGTTTATGTTTATGAATACTGCATTGTTCAGTGCTGAATGTATGTGAAACTGAATTAAAGTGAGTAATCACATCAGTTCGATATGCATATTTTATTGCTGAAGGAATGCCTAAAAGGTAATTTGACAGTGGCATAAAGATTGTATTTGTTTCTGTTGTTATTTCATGTGGTTTTATCAGGTTACTGATAAAATTTATATTTTATGAAAACTGTTCACCATGTTTTCATTTCTAGCTGAACTGAGACACATTACCAAGCTGAAGCCCTGGGGTCTGCTAGAAGTGCTGACGGAGAAATACGAGTGGGATCCCAAGGAGGCGCAGGCTTTTGCTGACTTTCTCAAGCCAATGCTCGAGTTTGACACTTCCAAGCGCGCCACGGCGGAAGAATGTCTAAGGCATCCTTGGCTACAAGACGCTGATGCATAAACACTGATTTGACGATTCTGTACAGTAGTTCCATAATTATAATTATTCTGTAAGATAAATAAGTATTTGTATTAAGAGTTGTATTGTTCTCAGAGAGTTAGGATTACAGCACTCCATTGCAAGGTGCCAGGATAAGTACTTCTGTAGTTGGAAGTGCTTCTTAAGTATGAGTATTTCAATGAGAATTGTAGAGACTGTTGCCAAATATAAAACATTGCAAAGTGATGCCACCATATTTGAACATTACTGAAAGGAGATGAGCTTGACAATTATGCCAAAGGAACTGTAATGCTGTCATCCCATGTTAGCCAAAGGAGTGTTCATCTGGGTTAAATGAAACCAGATCTTGACTAAATTGACTGACAGCATAAAAAAATAGAAAGTTGCCAGCTCAGCAGCAGTTTTTCTGACGGACAGAAGTAGGAGTATTCTGAGCCTTATCACTTTCCAACCTGTTGGACTACTGCTGTACTGCTTACTGTCCTTTTGCTATGCTGTCAGTGAAGGTAACATAGAACTGGGTTAATTTTGCATGGGTATAAAAAAATGCCTAATTACTTTATTTGAGACGCCCTGGACCCACTGTTAAACTCCACCCGAGCTTCTATCCTTAAATTTACTTAACACCCAACATCAGGATGTATGGAACTGGAAATAAATGTCTATTTGTTCTCCTCATGCTAATAGTTTAATCTGTGTTCCCATGTATAAAGTTATGGATTTGATTACCTATTGGTTCCTCTACACCACTTTTGGTCTTGCTCTGGATTTTGAATTCTTCACTGCATTTTTGTATGGTAAAGTGCTTTATTATGTACCGTTAGGGGGTAGTTGGGTGGACTTGGTGCCCACCCTGCCTTGGGTACCCTTCATATTTGCATTCTCTAGCTATGCTTGTGCCAGCGCGCTACAACTTCCACAGTCCATCCTTCCGTTTCTTTTTATTATTATTTTTAAAATATATTGACCAAGTTGCCAAAAACATGGCAAAATACGGACGCTGCACTGTGTACAAAATCTATATCAAATTTCAAAAGCAGTTGGTGAAAGGGCTGTCGATTTAAAGCATTTCGTCCTTGTATATGTCGTGTGATATATTAAAAAAACATTGAAAATAGAGTCAGATTTTCTCCCACATACTGTAACATATTGTTGCCGTTTTGACTGCATCAGTTTGCAAAATGTGATTGCTACATCGGAATAAATATGATACTGAAAGGTGATGGTATTTATCAATGTTTTCTGCTTCAGCCTCTGTGTATTGTGTATTTACAGCGTCTTGAGGTCAACTATGTATAACTTTGTTTCTGCATTTTTAAAGGGTCAAAATGTTCAGTGTCCGAAGTCAGATAGAAGGTTAACCAAAGTAAGGGGTCCCTATTAAAAACAGATATTTAAAAAAAACTGTTTAACTCCCGTCGGTTTGTCAAAATTTGCTAAGTGTTTGTCACAATTTGAGCACGTTCAGACCAAGCTATCTGCGGTCTAACAGATCCGCGGATTAAACCTGGCCAACCGACTTAAAAACAATGCCGACTAATCTGCTGTCGGCACGTGCGTCTCCCCGCCTCCACACGCGCCGTCCCTTCAGGGGCCTAGCAATTAAATGCCCGAGCCGAGATTTAATTTGTTCAATGGCATATAAACATACATTTTAGCTTTTCGACAGCAGCCCAAACTGAACGCGCGAAAGGCTCCTTACAGAAGGTTGGAACTGGTGCCACCTGGTCAAAGTTCTGACTGCTAGTGATGCTTACGCCGCTGTGCAAACGAAGTTTATTTTAGATTTTATTGCAAATTTACAGTTTGTTCAAATTTGCAGTACTTCACATATTTTCCCCGCTTTTTAATTATTTTACTCCGACTTACCAAACTTAAATCCGCCTTACCTGACACTCGCCATAACTGTAAAAAACGGGGAAAGTACTTAGCCCGTACTTTGCGATAGGTGTTAAAATTCACCCATTCCTTTTAGCTCGTGGTTCACCAGGAGCCAGGAGATCAAAAATTAGATTATTTGCTTCTGGTTTTTAATTTATGGCAATTATCTGTTGAAATATGATAAAATGTATTACTTGTCCTCAGATAGGAATCAAGGACTTATCAATAAAAAAGAAATAAAAAATTCAATTTCAACACCCTATTATAATAATAATTTATTGAGCACTAAAATGTTTCAGTACATTTTGCAGGCCCTCTAAAATACTTGTGTTATACATACATGTAATATATCTAGACCTATTATCCCACTTATGTGATATCAGGCTTTCAAACACAAATGCAATTATGTTTTCATAGTTACCTTATATACATAATTTATTGCGTTAGTTGTTCATCAAGCGCAACGCCACAAAGGCATCGTGAATTAAGCAAATGGTAAGATAACAGTCTGAATGCTGGTCTTTACTTTTTCCGAGTAAGTGTTATTGGAGTGAAATATTTCAATGCATTTTCGATAAAACTGTATGCAATATTTTGCTATCTTTTCTACATTTACGTAATGGGTGGGGTTTACTTTTTCAACATGCGATGAAATTCCTTAGAATCCATTGTGTCCTCTTTGTTCTGGTTCAGCTAGAACAATGTCTTTTCTCTACACATCAATTACGACGTCTGTAAACTCTTCCTTGGAGATGTGATCAACCCTGAAACATATGTTGAACTTCTATTTCATAAAACGCCTTTCTCAGCACGGGAAATACAGCTAAATCCATCTCCCGTATAATACATTCAAAAAAAAAAAAAAAAAAAACAATGACTAGACACTCAAAGATATTTCACCTGCCCACGTAAAAATCTGACCGTTTTACCTTTTTAGGTCAAGCCAGTTTAGGTCGAGTTTCATAACCCCCAGTAGCACTGCGAAAAGAATCCTATGCTTCAACTATCATATTACATGTACACTGTGTCACTACCTATACATAATATGGAAATGAAACATTAGACTGTGTTCTTGTGTTCAGATTTTCAAGAAAAGGCATGGTCTTAAAGGAAACGTCTTATCAATTGATATAGTCGGATACTGAAGATAGCTTGAGGTAATTTGGACAAAATTGCATCATTACTTGCATGTAGTTAATCCAGAAAATCTGTGGGAGCACAGTATTTAATTAATTTTTTTTGCTGTGACCCAGAAATGTCATATTTTAACAACTGTCATATTGTGCCATGTTTTAACAAATGCACGTCCAATATTAAAGTATCCATTTTCCAACCATTTTAAATTTTTGCATTTTTTATATTATGTTTTTGGGTGACTCATTTCCTATATCAAATCATTTCAAATGGTTTTAATGCAGCTGTAGCTTTCCATTTGCCAAAACTGAGAAGTGCATTTTCCAGGCTTATTAAATACTTCAGTGGATCACTTCTGTCATTAACTGTTCCAAAGAACATTGCACATACAATGAATTTTTGAGATGCGTATGAGTAAACGATATAAATAGTTGAGATAGAGACCCATACATTGTGAACACTTTGAATAGATAGTGCCATCATACCTTTTCCCGTCAATGTCACTGAATATAGACCGAGTTTTGGCCCTGACATATGGCATATTGTCAACTGCTCTCTTTTTGTCACACCTGCAGATTTTGTGACTGGAATTAAATGGTAACGCATACAATGAGTCAGTCAAGGCATTAGGGTTTATTGAAGGATCTAAACGGCATTTCTGACAGGTAGGAACACACGGATTACTTTGTTTAATTTTATCAAGGATATTGTTGTCTAGAAAATTTTACCTTATTTTTGAACAACTGGTTAATAGATTCTAATACCCAATAATCAATACGCTGCAAAATTGAGCACATAATTCTCCCTATCAAGTGATTCGCTCTTCATTTTAGAGCAAGATCCAATACTTACAATGAACCATATCTGTATACAGTGTCAACACAGTCCTCGCTCTTTCTACAACCACCTCTACAAGCACAACCGAAGAAGTTACATGGCCCAACACCACAAACCGGAGTCGTCTGCAACAGGGTAAATTAAAGCGTATGAATGTATTCCATCTTCCTTACACATACTCACAAACGCTCGCGAGAATCTTTTATTTCTGGTATGCTAGTGTCCATATCACACTTGAAAGAATTCCCTTTCCCCTATTCAAACGAGAGACTTCATTAACCTATTTATCACATATTATATGTAAAAATAATATCGAATTTAAAGAATTTGCTTATGGCGAACGGAACTGCCAATGTCATTAGAACAGCCGATTTCTACTCCTTCATCCGCACGCTTCAGATTTTAAAAACGTAGAGCAGACGAATTTCACTCATATCAGTGCGTTTTAAGGATATTGCCACCCTTCGCCCAAAACTCATTATTTACTGCCTTACATACATTCTTTTGGGTATTAAATAAATCTTCAGTGCTCAGTGAGTAAATTAATTAACATTTACACATATGTCAGCTTACGGGTGACGTACTAATTGCGATTTTGGCGAAAAACTGAAAAATCGATTTCTCAACTTTCTTTTTTACCTGAGCAGCCACGATCATCGTTTCAATGCTTCGATTTTATGACACTATGTATCATTTCAAAACCCTGATAGGGGTTTTTCTTAAAAGTCTTTGTTCAGATTTTATCGTTGATAAAGCAAAATAATGCCTATGTTTAATGAAAATATGTAATTAGGGGCTCATACTGTAACACCATAAGAAAACTTTTAAACCAAAATGACTGCACTTGGTTGTAGCCTATATACTCATGGTCAATTCTGCCAATTTTCGTAAAAAAATCTTGTTCAGGGACGAATTAAGTTATGCCCCATACTGATTGCAATCTCACCTCTTAACAAATTCCACAAAAGCAATGTGAATTAAGCAACGGGGAAGATAACACAGGCTGAATACTGATCTTAACTTCTTCCGAGTAAGGATTCTTAAAGAAAAGCTAAATGCACAATTTTGCTATCTTTGCTACATATACGGGTGGGGTTTAGTTTTTCAACTCGCGATAGAATTCCTCAGAGTCCGTATTGTCGTCTTCTTTCCACTTCATGATGGCGGATTAAGCTAGGACAATGTTTCTTCTCTACACAGCCATTACGACATCTGTAAACTCCTCCTTGGAGATGTGATCTACCCTGAAACACACGGTTAAAGGTACATACGAACCGAGCATCGGTGGAGTGTGGATTACCAGTAAGACATGTAAACCACTTCTAGTTTCTTATATGACTCAAATAAATTAACATGCTAAGGGATGAACTGAATAGATCACTCAATCATCCATAAAGAGCTTTAGACTACTCCTTTCTTTAATTTTTGGTCGGAAATTTAACCTACTTTCGTGACCTACTTTTCCGTCCCATTGACATACAGCTTAGAATGCTAGCAGAAAAATCCTTTCAAACATAATTTTCGAGTAAAATTAAACAATGCCTTTTGGTAATTTTCTTAGTTATACTACTTGAAACCATACTATTTGGTCGGTTTTTGTGTAAAAGTGTTTTTTCTGTACGAGTATATATATATATATATATATATATATATATATATATATATATATATATATATATAATGGAAATGAAAGATAAGACTGTGTTCTAGTCTGGATACTTAGGTTAGGTTGAGGTGATCTGGACAAAATTACATTATTACTTGCATGTTGTTCATCCAGAAAATCTGTTGTGGCGGCACAATGTTGAAATGGAATTTTATTTTGTGACCTTAAAGTGTCAAATTTCACCTATTGTATTATGGTACCACACTTTAAAGTCAACATCAAAGCCCATTTTCCATCCATTTGAACCTTTTTTCTTTTTGTATAATATGGGTGAAACGTGACTCAGTTTCCGCCTTTTTTGTGATTTTAGATCATTTTAAATAGTTTTAATGCAGCTGTAGCTTTCCTATAGGCAAAACTGAGAGGATCATTTTTCAGGTTTATCAAATATTTCAGTGGATCACTTCTCTCATTAACTGTTCCAAAGAACGCATACAATGTGAACTTGCTAGATGCGTATGGGTAAACGATATGAGAAGTTGAGATAGAGACCCGTGCATTGTGAAGAGTTTGGATAGATACTACCATCATACCTTTTTGTCGATTTCACTGAATGCAGCCTGCATTTTGGCTTTGACATATGACATATTGTCAACAGCTCTTTTTTTGTCACACCTGCAGATACCTCTCCTGTAATTAAATAGCAACGCAATCACGTCACAAGTGTTGTGTGAAGAATCTAATCGGCACGTCTGATAGGTAGTAACACAAGGATTACTGTGTGTTTATGAAGAATATTGTTGTCTAAAAAGATTTACCTTATTTATGAACAACAAAATATGATGTAAAATCGAACACATATTTTCCCCATGTGAAGTGTTTTTTTCTGCATTTTCGAGCAAGATTCAATATTAAAAATGAACCTGACCTGTAAAAAAGTGTCAACACAGTCCTCTCTCTTTCTACAACCACCACTACAAGCACAACCGAAGAAGTTACACCTCCCGACACCACACAGTGGACCGATCTGCAATAGGGCAAATTAAATCTTATGAAAGTATTCCGTCTCCTTTACACAAATACTCTCTCTCTCTCTCTCACACACACACACACACACTCACACACACGCTCGCAAGAATCGCGTGTTTGCATGTACTGCTGTGCTTATGTCCATACCACACTCGAAAGATTTACCTGTCCCCTATTCACACGGGAAACTCCTAAACTAATTTATCACATATTATATGTAAAAGTACATCGAGTATATACAATTTGCTCATGAGCGAAGGGACTGCCAAATGTCATTAGGAAAGCCTCTGTCGATTCCTTCCTTTCATTCATTCATCACACAGATTTTGAAAGCGTAGAGCAGACGAAAGACACTCAAAGCAGTACATTCACGTTAACTGATTCAGAGATAATTTCTGACTCTTTTCCAAGGTATCTTTCTTCATTTTTGACCGTCTTTCGACAGAAAATCTTAAATGCCGGACGACTGAAACTTGAAAAATCTGAAGACCCAGAATACGACCTCCTGACCCCATCTAAATTCGCCACTGACACTTGTTGTGCTATTTTGTGGAATGAAACCAAGACTGTCATGATAATCAGATTTCGTAAAGTCCACGGTAAATGAATGCACATGCAAGATATAAGAAACAGAATCATATAAGATGCTTACAGTGTAACACACACAAAACACACTCAACGTCCAAGTTTTGTCTAAATATAATAGCTTTAGCAACGTTGAATCTATGGTGAAAAATGAATCTTACTTTACACGTTCATTGACATACGTACCTTTTTGCAGTCGGCACAGTAAACGGTTAAAAAATTAATACTACATACGGCCTGCCCAACTTCTACCAAGCTTACTGCAACAAAGACTGTGACTAGCAGAATAGATTTACTGCAAATCATGGCCTGGAATAGTTGAAAGAGTAAAACAAAATCAGCAAAATGAAATACCCTAGCTTACGACAAATTTGCGTTTGGTTCGCTCCAAGACAGTGCCTATAATAACTTACGAGCTGAGATGTTTGAGATTGGTTTACTGAGATGTGAATGGCGAAACTGTGCTAACTCTATTTACATCTTATATAAATATGCCTGTAGTCAATCAGTCATTGGCACCCTGTGTTCAAGAGCAGCGTAATGGATATGCATTCAATCCTTGATTTCTATGATGTCAACTGTTGCATATTTTAGGAGCAGTAAAGCAGTGAAGATAAAACAAGGATAAGACGAACTCCCTAGAAATTCAGAGTTGTTTGCGTTGTGCTGGTAGTCCTCTCAGAAGGTTCACCGCGTTGACAGGGACTAAATTCTTAGCCGGAAATGACACTACAATAGCGCTTAAATTTCGTACACAGGCATACCTGTCCGTTTTGCAGCTGTATATCATGTAAAAGAAAGCTATCAGAAAATTATTGTCTTGTTTTTGTCATATCAAGGGTCGTTTCTTTTCCTCCATACTCGCACGTCATCGAAACCACTGCTAGCGCGTAGTTCCGTTACCCCATTCAGATTGGGCCCGGGAACTAAACGAAAAGAGCGGAGATTTCCATTGATAACGCAATGACCCAGTCAAATGATTATGAAATGAGCCTAAATAAATTAGCTATATCCGGTCCCCATATTTGTAACTCACAAAAGATTACTTCATGTCAACGCTGTCTAACCGCTGATTAAGGATCGCAGGGACCTTTCCCGACTCTGTAAAATTAAGTGTACTCTTCCCTGATAATTTTCATATGTGATTAAAGTTACATTTTCTAAACTTAATGAATATGAAGCAAAACACGATATATACTATAAACGAAGAGCGTGCACATAAGATACGATTTCGATTCAGGATGGCAGAGTGCTTTCCCCAACTCTGTGAAGTTAAGTGCAGTCTTTCCTAAAAAATTTGTATGTGTAAAGTGTTACATTTTCCAAAGTTATCCAAAGCAAAATACGATGCATATTCTAAGCGGAAAGCGTGCTCAAGATCGGCGCCATGTTGCTCATGTCCTAGAGTTGTTACCCAGTATCGTTGACGTGCACATATATCTATCAATGAATAAACTGTATATTAATTTATTATATCTCTGTATAATAAATATAACGGCCATTATACACGGAGAGGTTTCTTTCATACAAAGCAAGACAGGAATGCCCGCATTCATGGCTCTATTTCAATAACTTGAGCTGAAGAGTACAATACAACTACATCACCAGCCAACACAATAGGTGTTCTTTTTGTCCTCAAAGATATATTTTTAAGGTCAGAGTCAGTTAATAAACAAGCGCCATTTTTCCCCACTGTGGAGAAGTTCTAAAAGGGAAAGGAAGAAACAGGGCACATGTTTCAGGGATTATCTTAAAAACTGTTGTGATAAATATGAAAGTAGGCCTGCGCAGTAAGGCTTCGTTCACATGCAATGTCTGTTTTCTAAATTCTATTTTCTATTCGCGCTATCTTATGATCACGGTCTGTGCACTGAATATCCCGCCGCGTAATTACTGGCAGCGCGAGCCAGTTACTTATAGTAACTTATAGTAAGTGCCTCGCACTGCCAGTAATTACGCGGCGGGATAATCAGTGCACAGACCGTGATCATAAGACATGCCGCAAATAGAAAATAGAATTTAGAAAATAGACATTGCATGTGAACGAAGCCTAAGTGATAACATGTAATTGTGATCTCTGTTGATCGATGCTGCACCATTTGGAAGTTGAGGGATAAATGATTATTATGACAATTTTTAGACTTAGTGATTCAACAAAACCAACTCAATCATCCTTTGTAAACTATAAAAGAGACAGCCAGACATGGCAGAAGCAGCTTTCACAGATAGTCTCTCGACATGTGCTGCCTTGCTACCATACATTTTGCTATGGTTGTTTATGTGACCATGCTAAGCGCACCCTGACTCCGAATAGGACGTTTTTGTGTCCCATTTGTAGAGAAGAGATCCAGTTTCCAACTGGTGGACTTACACCCCATTCTCATAGATTAGATCGACCTACATTGGATCGACCTAACTCCCTGGGGGTTCACGCTAAATAGCTGTCAGCCGGGCGGACACGAAAGTTAATTACCCCTTAAAGCTTGTAGTAAGCGGGGACGGACACTTAAGGGGGATTATCTGACAGTAATCTAGTGAGACTCCCCGCGGTGATAGATCGATCTAAAAGTTGTGAGAACAGAGCCTTACTCAACTGAAAAAAAATTTGTCTTCAGCAAGGCCATGGACATCATAACCCAGCAACGAGAGAGAAGGACATTAGAAGAGGAACAGGTCAATGAAGCAGGAGAGGAAAAGGCCATTACACAGATGAGAAACAGTTGTGAGAAACATGCTAATAATGAATTAAAATATTGCTGTGAAGATGATGATACAGTTAAATATGGTGAGTGTATAGCAACAGAACATGGTGGACGTCGTATTTCATCAGTTGAGCAATTGCAAAAAGCAGTAGAGGCAAAATTAAAGCTACCCTTGTGAAAACCATGAAAACAACAAACAGGTTTAAAGCGGCAGTTGCCATGGAAATAGCCAATGAATCAGGACTCTCAAATCAGGACAGGCACCATCAAAAACATAAAAAAACAAGCTCAGAGTCTCCACAAATTAATTGATCAGAGGGTAGAGACACTGATATCAGAGGTGAATTCTGCTTACGACAACAGGAAAAGGCAGAGGGAGAAAAACAAGGACATCCTTGAACTCCACCATATTTCCTTGTACAGTGCCTGTGACTTTGCCCAGGAACTCATCGTTAATGCCACTGACTCTGATGTCATGGTTCATGCAAAATCTCTGATAGAAAGACTGGAAGAAATGGAGAAAACACCTGTCCCATCTCCAGACACACCTACACAGATATTGTACAGCCAAGGTAAGATATCTACTGCCGGACTGATAGCCATGTTAGGACAGGTGACAGTACAATCACAACGTTCATTACCTGGGGAGGGAACAAATCCAACACCACATCCTCATGTTTTCTTAGAGAAGGCAGAATGTGTACATTCCTTCAGTTCTAAGCTGAAAGATGACAGAAAAATTGCCATACATGGGTTAGCCATAGATATGGAACAAATGTTTGTTGTGGATAATGAAAACAACAGAACAAAAATGTTCACACATGCTGGAGAGTTCAAGCACAACATTGAAATAAGCAGTCCATTTCACGTGGCTGTGTCACAGACTGGTCAACCGTATATAACATCAGTAAATGACAAATATGTGAAAGTGTTCTCCACTAGAGGTCAGCCGCTGGCAACCGTGGGTCAGGATCAACTGAAGGAGCCATGGGGTATTACGCTGAACAAACAAGGTCATGTGATGATTTGTGACAGAGGAAAGAAATGCATCTTGTCATTCCATGCAGACAGCGGGCAGCTTCTGAACACTATTCCACTCAGTATGTGTGAATGCCCAGAGTACATCACAGTGAACAATGTAAATGATAACATTGTGATATCAGACTGGGGCAGTAGCTGTGTACATGTGCTGTCACCATTTGGGAATCAGCTGTACCAGTATGGGACATATTGCAGTGGTGTTGGTCAAATGTTGATATCACAGGGAGTTTGCACAGACAGATATGGTCACATCTTCATTGCTGACAGGGATAACAACAGGATAGTGGCGCTGAGTCCACAGGGACAGTTCATCAGATACATTGCCACTCACCGTGATGGAATGGAGCGTCCCGTAGCATTAGCCATCAACCCTGCTGACCAGCTGATGGTGGCAGAGAGAAAGGGCAATGTTAAGACATTCCAGTACTTACAATAAATGTTGCTGAAATTAAACTCTGCTGAAAATGTATATCACAATACTGATATTCTGATGGAAGTTCAGCTGTTGATAATTAATAAGATTTTACTGCTAACTTTCTACAATAAATTAAAGCTATACTACCAAATACAGACTTGACTTGGAATATTATTTTTCCAAATCATTTTTCATCAGTTTTTTTTCCTATTTTGCTGACTGATAAATGAAAATAAAGATTAAAATCGTGTTTTAATAACTTTAAATTATCTCTTTAATGTCATTGTGACATCAGTTCATTAATGGAATTCACCAGAGAAGCAAACAAAAACACATTGCCTATTCTATGTCATACGACAATCATTAAAAAGAGATATTTTGGACCTCCATATTTTCCAAATCATTGTCTGTAAAAGAGTTACACGCTCCGCAAAGGACCCTCATGTCAGTGTCTAGTCACAGTTACGGTGGCTGTTACGCCTGACCTCTTCTGGCTGCTACCAGCGCTCTCAAGTGGCAAGGCATTGCTTGGGATAGGTTTTTAAAGTTCAATCTGGAATAACATTCCAGGCTTCGGTCAAAATCTGTCCAATTTGGTCCAGTTTTGTTGTAGGACATGTAAGCCATTGATTCGGCGAGTAATGGCCTACCCACATATTGTCTATGTGGTTCAAATATGGCGGTTTTGATGACCAAGGTAGCTGCTCATTCCCTTGGTTCTGTAAGTAATCTGCTATTAAAAGTGCTCTGTAAGAACCGGCAATCTCACCGTGCAACCTAAAATTCTTCCTCAGTTGCCCCCTATCAAATGATAGCCAAGTGGTTTCCAGATTATTTCTTTATTTGATCTGGTTCAGGTTTTCGTCGATGACTACCATTGGTGTTTTGGCACCAATGTGGTATCCACTCCGAATACTAACGCTGTTAATGACTTTAGTCACTTTAGACGCCGCACGCGCTTCGTCGTTGGCCTCTTTTGGATGTCTGTAAACTCTGTTTTGATTGTTGAGCGGTACAGGTGAAATCTGACCTTAATAAAGAAACCCACAAGATTTCAGTGTTCAACCCAGAAACAGTCAAAGTCCCCAATTCATCAGAGAAACATACAACGATGTTTTGCTGTTTACAGTGGGTTCCCCCGAGGTCGTCTGGTATTCTAACCTGCTAAAACCAGTTTGGTGTCCGCAAAGGGCCTTGAAAAATGCGTTTTGGTGGCAATATACCCCTCATTCTGAACGGACTGGGTGGCTTTTGTTTAGTTGCAACAGCATATCCCGAAAGACAGTGGGTCCTGTACCCTGGTGGTAAGATTTCAATAAATTGGGTGTGGCCTCTGTGTAGGTACATCTTTCTGGGCATTACTCTATAAAACTGTGCGGAGCGTTTCGTTTGGAGCAATTATCTGTGTGGCAATGCCTGTTTTTTACGCGCCATTCTGCCACGGATTAACAAATTTGTAAAGCACTGCATAGCTCATTTTACACCTTGCAAAACTAACCACTTGCATGCAAAATTTCAAATTCTTCTATGCAGTAGTTGCCGATATATGGATACTTTTTTGACAGAACCATGCCTTGCCAAACCCAAGCTTTGACCTGTCCAAAGGAGCACTACCAAATTAAATCACTGCATAGTACATAATGCAGCAGCGCAACAAACCTGGTATTCAGTTAATTGGTTGCGACACACCTGACTACACACTTCTCCATTCACATATCTTATATGAGATCCGAGTTTGTGAAAAAAAGAACGCATTTTCACCTAGGCATACCTTCGAAACTGAAATATTTCATATTAAATGTCAAGTCTGTAGTGCCATACACTGAAAATGCTACAGAGTGGCTAAAAGTTTTGTTAGGTATAGCTTTAATTTAGTGTAGAAAACGAAAAAAGTTTAATGTTATGAGGCACAATACTGATGATTACAAAAACCATTCCGGTATGTTATTACCCCTGACAATGAGGATAGGTTGTAGGAACCAGAATGTGAGGCGTAGTTAGTCTACTTCAAAGCTGTGATAGCAGACTGGAAGAGAAACTATATTTATATATCACAACATTGTTTAGATTTATTATTATAATTAATATTAAAATGCTGACATAATGTTAAAACAAGGCAGCAAAGCTGTGAAATGCATTTATAAATAAATGTCAAAACTGATAGAAACGGTGATATTAAAACAGCTTAAAATGACAGACAACTAATTTAATAATGAAAGTCCACGAAATATTTTAGCAATAATCAGGGCGTCAAGTTCCTACTTCTCCTATGTTTTCATTTTTTTTTTTTTTTGAGATCTTCGTATTTTTCTTGTTTTCTAGAGAAAATCCCTATTTATTCCTATTTTTGGTCTAAAAATGATGTTATGTATCAAGGATACCTTAGTCAACAATGAACTCGAACTGAATGTGTTGACTGCGCCAAGTGTATTTCAATTAGGATAAAGAAAAATCTGAATCTGATACTGGGTCTTACTTGATATGAACACCACTACACGTTCAAGTAAAATCCAGTATAAGATTCAATTTAAATATAGCCGTTAACCGCGACTGTCTTGCTCGTGCACATCAGTGATGATACAATAAGCGGAAACCCCTTTTACCTTTTGTTTTTAATCTTACAGAACTGATATTTATCATAAAATACACATCGAGTCCAAACATCAGCATGATCGGCCCATTTTTTGAAAAGTTACGCTGGGTTTTTTGGCTTTTTTTCAGCATATATGAAATAACACTGAAAACACATTTTGATGAAAACCCATAGGCCTATAAACTTGAAACTTACAGGAGTGATCGATCTTACTGAAATACTTCGAAAATCGGCTTAATCGGACCATTTTTGCAAATGGTTTGGTTTTTAGTGGGCTTTTTTCAGTGTATATGCGATATAGATAACACATTGAGTGTAAAACTTGTTGTCTTCAAACTTACAGGAATAATCAATATCCTAAAACAGGTCAAGTTTGAAAACCAGCCTGATCAGATTTTTTTTCTTGAAATAATGCAATTTTTTGGTATTATTTTCATTTTTCACATTCATGTTTTGGCGTTTTCAGGAATTTCAGGAATTTCACCTGAACATCTTTGCTGATCACTTTTTCCACTTATCTATGTTATCTGCAGGGCATAATTAAAAAATGGTGGTGATTATGGTGGTAAGCAAAAAAAAAAAAAACATTTTGGCCACTGACGCCATAATTCCCATTAATGTAAAACCATGTCACTTATGCATCTCAAATCACAGAAAATATTTATAGGACTGTAATACAGCTTCAGTTAGAAAACGGCTTGATTGATTTTTTCCGGAAGTTTAGTTGAGTTTAAAATTGGCAAACATAAAATGGCTCAAAATAAATAAATAAATAAATAAATAAATAAATAAATAAATAAATAAATAAAACAAAGATAGATAATAACAGTTTAGTAAATATAAAGTATGCACATGCCATCAATGCTTTGGCCAATAAACTTTATTATTACACTGTTTATCGTCGTTTAATTTTTTCTCAGCTAACACGGTTTAGAATCTTCATCCGCCTGGGGTGGTTTTTCTAGAGGGAGCTAATCGACGCTCGTCTGTCACCCTGATACCTCAATAATAAAAATAATAGTATCAGAATGACTTAATCAGAATGAGTTTATAATAGTTTAACTTTATACTGTCATCCTAGTTACCGCAGTAAAAACCATTTTATTAACTTTCAACATATTAAATAAAAACGCCGTATGTCCGCAGTGTCCATATGTCCGCCGTGGGACTTAGTGTCATGCCAACTGCCAGCAGATATGTGATGACGTGCAATATCTATTTTGAGCTTCACATGCCATTCGTGTCAGCTTCTTCATTTTTATATCTCAGAATATATAATACAGAGAACAAACTGGCAGTCATATTGTACGTCCACACTACGTCTGTCACTCAGGATGTGAAGTCAGTATTTCAAAGAACTGTTATCCGGGAATCATTCCTTGAATAAGGGCTCTAAGCCTAATGACGTACAAAAGGCCAATTAATCTCAACAATAATGGTAAGCACGATTCTTAGTTTTTTAACAGCTGAAAGTAAGAAGTGGGAAAACGAAGGCTAATGCAGTGTGCTACATGTAGTACAAGTGGAATATCTACTTTATTTTTTTTTTCTGTAAAACTATGCAGGCTTGAATATCAACGACGCAGCTTCTTGATCAGCTTGGGGTTTTCTTGGTTGCATTGGGATAATCCAGTAAAAGTAGACACCACGGGAAATAGAAGAATTCAGGTATGAGAGACGGTTGGCGGGTTTGAAGTCATCAACCTATTCAAAATATCTACATAAATTACAGACGTAGCCAATAGAACATTCAGCACCGTTTTCCTTCCCAGAGTAAGAGAAATCGGAGAAGATTCGCTAAACACACTCAGAGTGCTTGCAGATTTGAAGACAAGAACATGCCCAACACCACCTTGATATTGAATGAAACTTTGGAGGGGGACGTAGTTTCACTGAACGGATCAAATATGGCCGCTCCCCCCTGTCAACGCATGAGCTGCGTCGTCTATATCGCCGTAGAAGTTTTGATATCGTTGATATCGATAACGTCGAATTGTTTTGTCATTACTGCGTTTTGGAAGTTCAAGTGGCTTCGGTCGAACACTAACATAGCCATTGTGAGCTTAGCACTGGTTGACGTTTTGACAGGTCTAATCGGCATGCCTTACAATATAGTCATAGCATACCTCGTCGATGTCGTTCCAGCACTGCATCATTTAGCTTTGAATGAATACTTCTGCTTGGGAAAACTGGTGATAGTGGGTACGTTCCTTGGACTTTCATTGCTTATACAGACTCTGATTTCCTTTGAAAGATACGTCAAGATATGCTGGCATACTCACTATCAAAGAATTTTGCCAAAAAAGAGATTTTATTTCATCACTGGTATGTGCTACTTGTATTTGTTCATTCTGAATTCTGTACCCTTAATGGGATGGAATAACTGGACTCCGGGGGTGGAGTGTAGGGCAGATAAGGTAATGGCAGGTTTCGTGCGTTACCTTGGATCACCACATATTCCTATTTGCCTGTTATTTGCTTTAGGTTTCTACATCGCAATATTTAGAAAAGTCAAGAAACAAAAACAACAAATTGGGCAATACGGCAATGCATTGCAAGGCACTTCATCGCACGGGATGCAAATTGTTACACCGGAAAACCAAACAGCTAGTAACAGCATGGCGCTGAAATTTCCATCAGCTGCAGGCCCATCAACGTCGCTCAATGCGACAACCAGCCTCGGAGGTCTAAATACGGTTTCCGGTGTCATCTCGGGAGCAGGTATGGGAGGTGAAAGTGGAATAACCGGTTCCACTGATATGGTGTCATTGGAGGCGACTACGTCCAGGGGAGGTCCTTCTGCGTCTCACGCCCGCTCTGACGAGTCAGCAAGGGTGACAATCAACGTATCGACCAGCAATACGGAGGCCAAGCTTGCAAAAATGACTGCAGCTACTCTCGGGTGCTTCTTTGCTCTGTATTGTCCATATCTAATGATATTCTGGTGCGAAAAATATTTTGAGAAGGGTAGTTTGACATTCGCTGTACTTAGAAACATTGCTATTGAATTTATAGCGTTAAGTTCAGCAATTAATCCGTTCATATACGGTTTCATGAATTCCAATTTCAGGAGAGCATTTTCCAAAATGTTTAAATGTAATAAGACATAATCACCAACGCTTGAAAATAGAAAACATTTAATATTCCCCTTTCCCTTCCCCTTTAATTAAACTTGTATATAATGCTACCAATCGTTGTATTGACTTTAAGTGGCGTTAAGGCAATCTGTAGAGATGTTACAAAGTAAAAAACAACACAGTTATGTACTTGATTTATAATTAGGACTTATCTTTAAAATATCACGACTAGCATCACAACATTGGGTTGCAAAGTCGGTATTGATATTCATTAAATGTAGGGCACTCAATGAAAATAGGATTAGCTTTCTAATGGAAAACCCTTCTACTTGACACCAGCGTGAGGATCACACTATGAAGCTGGATGAGTGTCCACGCCTTAATTCACATTGAGAAACAACTGTTCGCATACCCTTGAATACCTCAGGTAAAACATCTTTGTTCTTTATATGATATGATTGAATACGCAGACAAAATATAATATCTATGTCCGAGGAACAATCACAATGTTGCCCGGATAGACATCTGTAATTTTCATCAGCTTAAATATATATATATATATATATTGTTATTTGATATACGTATAGCTTATATTATTCTTTTTTTGGCATGTGCTAGGATCGTTAAAATAAATAAGTTATTAACTTAGTCGTTAAGAAATGGGGCGGTGATTTCCCTATTACATTGTAGTTGTATAATCTATCCTCATATTAATTCATATATTGTGGTGGTCACTAACAGTGGTATATTTGGTTACTGTTTTGATTAAAAACATATTCTATTTATTCCAAACTGTTTACACAATGTTTTGAGGATACAAAAATGAATACCTAAAGGCGACGTAGCCTACATATACGCTTGCTGCTATTCATTTGGTTGTTAGTCGTGTTAAGGCTGTTTTATAAATTTTGTTTGTAATTTCGATGTAATCAGCTCGTAGTCTTTCTGAGATCCATGCAAAATAACCAAAAACAACAATTAGCTGGCAAGATTAAACAACTGGCGTATTCCTTATAAATCTCTAACTCTAATGAGATAAATATACCTCTGGTGTGATTCAAATGCTTCAATTTCTTCAACTGTTTCAACAAAAAAAGTTGTCCTCCGTGTTATGTATTTGATATCAGCCATGAACTGTCTGAGTTCCTCTCATGCCTTTTCAAAAATTTTTTTCTAGTTCAAATCTGTCAATATATAAAAGGGGCAAAATAGAAATTATTTATTGAAATGTCAAGAATTGCTTTTACAAAAATTATAAAAGGATTAATCTTATCTTAATGAGAAATATGTGCGAATTTGGGTTATCGGTATCATGCTATTCATATGAAGCTTACATGTACAAGTATGATCCGAAATATACCAATATTGTTGCGTAACGTATTGTTTTTAGTTGCTTTCTATCATTTATATGAAAATTTCCCAAACTTTTCCAATTTTCCCAATGTTTCATATTAATATATAATATAATGTAATATACAATTGTTGTATGTCCCTGCAATTTGATGAAGGCATCAAAACATATTTTTGAGTTATGTAGCCTTAGCATGCTGCTCTTCGTTTCCTTTTTAAATTATGACATAGCTTGTTCAGATACTTGAATTTATCTCCCGCTGTAATGTTAAGTTCACGAAGCAATTGTCAACAGATCTGCTTCATTGTCCAATAGGTTATCGCTGGTTTTTGTTCAGTACTTGTCCCTGCATTTGTGCGACATGCTATTGAAACAGGAGTCTTCAACATCACCTTAATCTTATCACCTCTAGCAAGAGTAATTTGCTAAATATATGCCGTAATCAGAAACAAACTGTGCTCCCCTGTTGTTTCCTGCGCGGCAGACCGATTGTCATATACAGTAGATGACATGCTAAGTACCAGCAGGTGCTTGTCCGATAATTAGTTTTAGGGGAATTACGTTCACCATGAAATGATCAGATGAGAAACAGGATGTCTAATTAAACGGTCTAAAACATCGTCTTACAGTTGTAATTAGGTAAGGGCTTAACATAAATCGATATATGATTTTAAACAATCGGCCCAAACAAGTAATGAGCATGAAGACGTATGTAAGTTGTCTGTGTCAGGCCTAGGGAGACCACAACGTTGTCGAAAACCCTGGATAAACATGTGTTATTATTATCAGCTTTCAGAACAGGAAAACAAACTTCTTTACAGTAGCAACAGCTAAAGAGAAAATAACACTTAGTCTGATTACATGTTTATTATAAACTATCCACTTACTGCAATAAAGTTCACTTATTTTGAATTTGCCCCCCATAACATTAGTATATATAAACATTGTTATCTAATTTAATTAAAAATATATATTAAAACTGGTTACTTAATGTTTTGAAGGTTAAAAATATCGAATAAATGTCCTAAATTCAAAGTACGTGCACTTACTGTTTTCATGAGTAAAGTTGTTGTCAAAGTAACTTTATCAACCTTGTGTGTAATAACGATGTAAAAAATATATCGGAACGTGAAATAAAAATTAAAATTACATGACTCCGAACAAACGTTACCCATAACACACGTTACCATTTAAAAAAAGGAAAAAAATACATTGAATATAAAATAAGGTTTTTACTGTGCTAAAATATATGACAGCATCCAGAACAACAAGAAAGTGTCAAATATGTGGTTATATTAGATACCATGAAATAAACAGGTAATTTATTTTGTAAAACCTCTTTCAGCTTTATTTCGACTCTCATAAAGCAAAATTGAAATCCAAAAACGAATAAGCAAAGTGGAGCTTTGAGAGGACCTCATGACGACTTAAGTTTGTGAACACTTCAGATGGTCCCTCAGTGTCTATTCTATAAATTTGGACTCTAGTCGTCTTTGTCAATGTCACTACATACACAGCCTGGGTAGTGGTTGTGATAGTCAAAGATAATGCATCGTCAATTGCTCTTTTTGGTACACTTACATAAGGCGTATCTGTTATTTAATATTGCCGCATACAATGAATCAGTTACGCCTTCAGGATTTTATTATGAAAAAAGGTTCGAATAAGTACGTCTCGCAGTTAGAAAAAACACATTTACTCTATAGATTTAGAGGTGGATTTCATGTTCCTGTTTTTGTCAAGAGTAATGTTGTTTGGGATATGTCGATCTGATTTAAACACCAAGCTATTCTTTTGTATTTCACAAAACGTTTTAATAATAATTGCCCCTATTCAAACATTTGCCTATTTAGCAGCGACGTCAAACATGAAGTATCTTTTTTTCAAAGCTACATTGAATTCAGAACAAGTGGATATCTAATTAAGAGCAATGTTGAAAAACACAGCCTTGTGTCTGCCAATAAGTTTCAGCGGCAGAATTAGAAGAAAAAGGTAATTATACTTGGATTAAATGCGACTAATCCTCAGAAGCCATCAAATACCCACTGTGGTTTGAAACATCTTCTCAACATGAGAAAGCAGACAGTTTGAACTCAGTATACATATTCTGTTGTATTATATTATTTTCATACTTCATCAATTCATTCAGAAACAATCATCACATTTTAAAATTATCTTCTAAATAATCACAACTTAAAAAAGCATTTGTTGTAAACTTAAGGCGCGAACCAAATAAGGTCTCCTCCCTGATCTTTTTGTACTACCTTTGTAATAAAGTACGAAATGTAAAAAATGATAATGAAAAAAAATCAAACTATACTGCGCTACCAGTAAATGACAGTGCATTTTTAGCTTTTTTAATCTCAACGGTATCAAAACACTATACCTTACCTAGCATATATGGCTTTAGCTATACCTATACAAGCAGTGGACTTCAGAATCTATTTACTCCATCAATTAATTTACTTTACCAAGTATATCAAGGCAACAGCACCTGATGATATCCAAGCTTGCACCACACATTAGCATACATCTAACACTCTTAACTTTGCCTTGGGGCTTTCATCGAACATGTGCTCATATTTGACCCAGGTAATAAGAAATTTTCATTAAAATTATTACTGCGTGGAAAAAAAGCAAAATGTCTACATTTAAGAATTTAAAAACCGATATCAATTCCTCGCGGTGTGACAACTATGTTGAGCAACAGTTAAATTACAATGCTCTTCATCGGAAATAAAGCAGCACGAAACATCGTAATGATAAAGATTAGTTTTGTCTGGATACAAGGTCCATAATACCTTAAAACCTTGGAAATGTTTTGATGGGTTTGATTAACTATGGATGACCAAACTGTGAAACTGCATGTGACACCGCAGGGACTGGGATGGCGGTAGGAGTGTTATGTCACAAAGTGCAGCAGGAGTTCAAGGCGATTTGCAGAGCTCCAGGAACTTATTAGGTGTTATTATTGAATGGCGTATTTCCATCATACCGTCCTGTTTTTATTGCAGTAGTATTATTGTGAAATTTTTATGAATAAATTATTTTTGTATATTTTCTGCAATATTTCAGTAAATCAATGTCATTTTGTTTACTTCAGAGGCTGAACGGTCCGTTTTCTAACCGATAAGCGCCAAGGGTGACCAGGGCCAGACAATAAGCGTCATTAAAATATAAGATATCACTGGTCTGCGTATTTCTCTTTTGCGGCCAAGTCGCTAGCCTTTCCGCATTGTTTTGATGTTGAATTTGCGAGATATCCACTCCACTGACGTACGTTTACTTTAAAAAAATTGTTACTGTACAAGCTATCGTAAAGTAAGCAATGTTTTTTTTTTCTTTTTTTAAGGCATAGATAAATGATTTGTATAATTTTTATACTCAAATTTACATGCATGTATACATTTCAGATAATTTTCCTAATTCTGCTACTTACTGTTTATCGAAATATATAATGATTCTTAAGCAACACCCGTTTAATCCGGTTATCAATAAATGACCAGATGACTATAAACTGTTTAATCGACTAATATACATACGTATGCCCTTGGATGTAAATATTATTGTCAGTGCGTTGAATCATTATGTTTAGTCAATGAGACTGAAAGTAAATTCTATTCTATTGTTTTTTTAATTCAGTCAAAAATAATTGGACAATCAAATACATGTCACTTATATT